AAAAAAATATGACGGGTTAAAGCATCATAGAATTCATACAGTATTCACCATCATAACTACTGATTCAAAGAATGATCCATGTAATCTAAGAAGAAAATGTGTTTTCAGTACGAGTCTTTAGGACTTCAGGATTCATTTGAGTCTTACTTCTGGTAAAACAGCACCAAATGGCAAAAGTGCACATCCTGTTTCAGAGAGTGAAAGAGGATGCTGATGGAGAAGTGAGAACATCTTTTTCCCTGTGTTAAAGCAACTATTACTTAGTTAAATTAACTGAGAAATAACACTACATCCAATTCTAAAGCGGAAAACCCCAACAATTGCTCATTTACTGTTATACTCTAACATGCATACATGATTGTTCAAACGTTTGGGGTTGTAAAAGTCTAAATGTTTTTGAAAAAAGTTTCTTATGCTCACCATGCTGCATTTATTCATATCATAACAGTAATATTTTGAAATATAAATAACTGTGCTCTATGTTAATATATTTTAAAATGTTATTTATTCCTGTGATGGCAATGGTGAATTTTTAGTCTTCAGTGTCACGTGATACTTCAGAAATCATTCTAATATGTTGTCACTTTCGATCAAATTAATCCTTCACATCCTTGCTGAATAAAAGTATTCATTTCTCTTTTTTTTAAATCGGACTGACCATAAACTCCGGAAGATAGTATGTGTCTGTTTGTCAGTAATGCGCAGCTTGTGTGTGTCTCTGCAGATAGCTGAAGGTATGGCCTACATTGAGAAGAAGAATTATATCCACCGTGACCTGAGAGCAGCTAATGTGCTGGTTTCAGAAAGCCTTTTGTGCAAAATAGCTGATTTTGGCCTGGCCAGAGTAATTGAGGACGACCAATACACAGCCAGAGAAGGTGAGTGTGACACCTCTCAGAGGTTTAACAGCATACTGGATGGACTGGTCATTATCTACAGCATTACTATGTCAGACGCCGCTCCAGGCTGTGCTTGTTGAGGCTGTTTGGCATACTGATGTTGTGATGGTTTCCCTGCGCCAGTGGTGGAATCAGAGGAGCTGACTGATAAGTGTGATTTTGAGGATGTGTTCTGTCTCTCTTTAATTCAGGAGCAAAATTTCCTATCAAATGGACGGCACCTGAGGCCATCAACTACGGATCTTTTACCATCAAATCGGATATGTGGTCCTTTGGGGTTCTCCTGTATGAAATTATAACATATGGGAAAAATCCTTATCCAGGTAATATAATTTTGTTAATGGCACCCTGATTACATTTGAGCATAATTCCAGGAGAGAGCTGCAGTGGAGTAATGGTGACCAAACTAAATCTTTTGTTAGGACTTTGTCGCCATCTACTTGTCATATTGTGTTAGACACGTTTAAGTATTGCAGTTTTGGTCAATTTGATACATCTGAAAGGTGGATTGATTGCTTCTGTGCTGCTAATGTTACCAAATGTAACTGCAAAAATAATGACGGGTTTCCTAAACACTCATTGGTTAAACAAACTCACATCATTGTTGCTATGTTGGACTGGTCACGTATTAAACTTAATATTGTTTCGCTAAATTAAGGTAAGACACAACAGGCAAAACTGTTGTTGCTCATGCACTGGTCAATTTTAAGATTTTGAGCCATTCTGCTTCCATAATGTCTTCCTTCAGACTAGTGGAAAGAAAACCTCCAAAAATACACATTTAAGTGTTTATTTATTATACTTGATCTATTTGCATCTGTAGACTTGAATTACAATACATATCTTTAAAGGCACTTTTCTGAAAATGAGTGTTTTCTCATGCACTAAATTTCCCCTTTAGTGAAATTTTGACATGCAGTATTTTCTGATTTTATCCCCTATGTAAAAACCTTCAACTCTAATCTGTCATATTTAAACATAACAATTCAGAAAACTTGTAATACAAAACAATTGTCTTGTACTGTGATTAATCAACTAGGGAAGTAAAGTGTAACTGCCGATTTTCAACCCTTTGTATTGTTACAATGTTGCTATTATATGTAAATGAACAATGTTTACTCGTTCTCCACTCGTTGACTACAAACCGAACAGAACTCACTCCCGCTAGACATTTACTCTTTGAATTCCTGCACCTGGGAACGATACAAATCGACACCATAATGACTAACAGTTCGCTAAGAAGTATTTTCTACTATAGTAAGGTAGTACTTGACTCTGGTAAGAGTATCTTTAACAGACTGGTGGACAGAGTTGCCAGGTCTGCATAACAAAACCCGCCCCAAAAAATCTTGTTACGGTGTAGTGTCGAATTCTGTGACACTAGTAGGTGCTGTATTGCGCTAATTTGACCTACTCCTAATCCCAATCCTAATCCTAACCCTACTGTCAATACAGGGCCTACTGTCCAGATAGCATACATATCAGGGTGTAATGATTTCACTGCAGGCGAGCTTGATGAAACCCAAGTGCAGTATTTGAACAACTAGACTACACATGAAACTCACAGACAATGGTTACAGGGACAATACTAGACGAAGTAACAAGGCAGACATGAGGTCTTAAAAACACAAGGACTGATGACTAAACAAGACACACCTGTGAACAATCAAGACAGTGACCAACAACATAACACATGAGACTTGGGAAGCACATGACATGATCACATGATAACAAAGGGGAGCACAAAGTTTACATGGGCAACATCTGGGCCACACACAGCAAGCCATAACTCATCACACTAAAACCGGCTTGATGTGTGAGGCCCGGATATGCATGCTATTGCCAGTCACACTCAGGTTGTGTCATCGCCGCCATTCCATGCGATATGTGGGCCACAACTGAACCAGATGTAATTTGCTATCTGGGTAGGGTCACAGAATTCGGCACAACACCGGGGGGCTTCAACCCGCAGATTAGAAAAACAACCCGCAGCAACAGTGTACAAGTAATCAGTGGGAAAACTGCGGACTTGGCAACACTGCTGGTGGGAGTGGCCTTGGTGAGCAATATGACCAGTGCATTATGGGTGTTGAAGTTTTCTTATCTATTTGGCAAAAGGGAGGACAACAGCCTTTTTCTCTGTTTTTTCTTGTCAGGTACTGTAGCACAGATACAAAATAAAATAAAAAAAGATTCACCTTTCAACTGTATAGGCAGCCAAGTTTTATTGAAAGCCTGTTTTGCCAGCGGTGAAATCAGACTCTGTTTCAGTTTCTTTCTCTTCTTTATCTGTCCACTTACCCTTTCACTTCCTTCTTTTTTCTTTGCTTCAGGCATGAGTAACAGTGAAGTCATGAGCTCTGTCCAGAGAGGATACCGGATGCCCCGGTCTGAAAACTGTCCCGCTGAACTTTACGAGATCATGAACTCGTGCTGGAAGAGTAAACCAGATGACCGGCCCACGTTTGACTATATTCAGAGTGTACTAGATGACTTCTACACAGCCACTGAGGGCCAGTACCAACAGCAGCCATGAGGATGCAAAATCATCCATCGTATTTTTGTACTGTTTCAAGATGATCAAAAGATCTGTGATTTATCTATGAATCATTGTACTAATATGTAACTAATAATTGTATCTGCTTACTTATATGTAAGCAAGGTTAAGATTTTCTATCTCTGCTTCAAATTGAAGTTTTAACTGCCTATTTGCAACTTTTGCTCTTCACATTCACATTTCCATGGCTACATTTCAATTTATAAATAATTTTATATTTCAAAGTACCCTAAGTTTTATTGTTATTTTTACACACCATAACATCTCTTCTTTTAAAAACTAGGGGTTTGAAATCTGGAATCTGGGTCACTATGGGTTCTGCAAAAAAATTAAGAGAAAATAAAAGATTTTAACAGAAAATATATTTTTAGGAGCGTCCAAGACAGTTAGCCGTAAAGCTGTATTGGAAGGATATTTACTGTGAAAGGAGCTATACCAATACATTTTAATTGAATTAAAATTAACAGTACTGTAATGATATAAATGATCATAAAATTAAGTTGAAAAACACGTTTTTACATCTCACATGTGTTTGAAATTGGTATACATAATTTATGCATGAAATTATACAGCTACCTTTATGACTCTATTTTGGGAGCATTAATATTTGGAGGTCCTTACAATTATGATCAAATGAAATCCATGCACTGTAAACCACTGTAAAGGTAATAATGAACATTCTCTCTCTCTCTCTCTCTCTCTCTCTCTCTCTCTCTCTCTCTCTCTCTCTCTCTCTCTCTCTCTCTCTCTCTCTCTCTCTCTCTCTCTCTCTCTCTCTCTCTCTCTCTCTCTCTCTCTTTTTAACAGTTTTTAATAACAATATTGAAAATGTTACAATAATGAACAGTGGAAGAAGGCAATATTTTATCATAAATTTGTAATTAAACCTATACAATGCCCTGCCTTTGATTAGCTAAGAATTAAATGCTTTGTACATTTAAAATATTCACATTTGTACATTATCTAGAAACCTAATAAAGTGAATATTTCGTGATTAGTAATGCAGTTCTAGATCGTAAAGAATTCTGGGTCATAAAATACAATGCTGCTGAAACCTAAGGATATTACCTTGAAAAAAGTTTACTGTTACAGTATTACTGTTTAATACTGCTTCCCTTACAGTTTTTCTATTCTATTCTAATACTCTGATAGTCATCCTCTTTAAAGGGAAAGTTCGCCCAAAAATTTAAATTATATCATGATTTACTCACCCTTATGTTGTCCCAAAGCTGTATGAGTTTCTTTGTTCTGTTGAACACAAAATAAGATATTTTGAAGATTGTTGGTAACCAACATCCTTCCAAATTTTAGTTCAACAGAACAAAGAAACTCATACAGCTTTGAAACCGCATAGGGGTGAGTAAATCATGATTTTTGGGTAAACTATCCCTTTAAGTCGCATGCCCTCTAATAATTCCTGCCTACTTATGGTCACGTGACGATTTCAAGATGGCCGCGCCCTTCAGTTTGCAGGCGTGACGTTATTCATATTGTTACAACACTGTCAAACGGTAAACCAGCTTGTACAATTTCATTGAAGCTCTCCGTTGAAGCCGGTAATAATGGACAAGGACAGTCTGATTCTGTAAGTTAATGATGAATGAATGCTGATTATAGTTGTTGGATGATTACTAACTATGTATTGTTATAGGGCCAGAGCTCACTGACGTGATAAAATAACATTTAAGTTAAGAATTATTTACATCCGCCCTGTTACAAAAACTGAACTCTAATTTGTGTTTCGTTTTGAAAATATATGTTCTTGATATGTGATAAATTTGTACAGTTCAAAGTGTCATACATAAAGTAAAAATAACCAATAATAATGGCACTCCGAAATGTCGTTCTTTAATTAAATCACAATAGAGGGATAAGTCAATAATGTTCAAACAGCATTTTATGTCAACTTGAATATGAAATAATGAATAGTTATAGAGGGTATTATTATCAAATTATTAATATTTAATGAATTATTTGGAGCATTCACACTCTACTGTCATCTTTATGTAATTAGTTTATGAAGTTTTTATTATCATCACACTGTTACTTTCTATTGATCAAAGATAGAAAAACATTAAGCAGCAACTATGTAAAGGTATTTAATGTCACTTTTGACCAATTTAATGTGCCCTTGCTGAATTAAAGTATTAATTTCTTTAAAAAGATCTTACTGACCATTTTTTAAAGGTAGTCTATATCTGCATGACTCTGTAATGTGGATGACAGGGTGTGTTTTGTGACAAATGCTTATCAAGCTGTGATCATCTGTAAACCGTTAGGCCCCTGATCTCAGAAGCCCTTATCTACTCTGTTCACTTGCTGCTTAAAACATCTGTGAAACCTGATCATCAGGACCTGGGGGAGGGGAATCAAACGATACATGTATTCAGATTTGAAGAAAAGTAATGTTGCGAATTAAATATTGACATATTTTGTCTTTGCTGTTTTCCATCCCAGCCCCAAAGGCTTTCCAGAGCTGAAAAATGACACATTCCTAAGAGCTGCGCGAGGAGAGGAGATTGAGCACATTCCAGTGTGGTGTATGAGACAGGCCGGCCGCTATCTGCCAGGTATGTATCAGTCTTAGGTGCCGATGAGCACCTCCAGTGCTACATGCTGTCATTTCTCATGAAGTTATTCTTTTCATCCTTCATTATCTGTTTTACAGAGTTCAGGGAATTTAGGGGAGTGAAAGATTTCTTTGAGACATGCCGTTCCCCTGAAGCTTGCTGTGAGCTTACGTTACAGGTTAACACCGCTGAGCACCGTCTTACCTGCTTCCTCCTTATAAGTGTAGTATATTGAGTTTTAACACTCTCAATTATCTGTTTTCAGCCACTCCGACGATTCCCATTTGATGCTGCTATCATCTTCTCTGACATCTTGGTGGTCCCTCAGGTCATTGACACATAATTTGACCTCTAACTTACCGAATTAACATTGTACATCAGTGTGCATGTCTTTTCATATGTGAAATGTGTATGAGCAGGCCATGGGAATGGAGGTTCAGATGAGTCCAGGAAAAGGCCCCACATTCCCAGAACCACTGAAGGAGCCTGAAGATCTGCAGAGACTAAAGACTAAAGTGGACGTGTCGTCTGAACTCGACTACGTTTTTAAAGCCATCACGCTGACACGACACAAAATCGAGGGAAAAGTTCCTCTCATTGGCTTCACTGGAGCTCCGGTGAGAAAAGCAAGCAACGATCCTCACATAACTAGAGATACTGCTTTAAAAGGAACACAATGGCCTCAATCGTCATCTGTTCTGTCTTTTATGAATGCCAGTGGACTCTAATGTCCTACATGATTGAAGGAGGAGGCTCTGTGACACACTCGAAGGCTAAACGCTGGCTCTACAGGTACCCAGAGGCCAGCCACAAACTACTGAGCCAGATAACAGATGTCATCGTGGAGTATCTTCTTGGGCAGGTGAAAGCTGGAGCTCAGGTGAGAGAAAGAGTGAGATGATATGAAGGAGGGGAACCATTTCAAATTCAGTATTTTGTTTTTACAGACAGAACGTATTTTAAACAGTTGTCACTAAATGTCTTTCCTTTAGGCTCTGCAGGTTTTCGAGTCTCATGCTGGTTGTTTGGGCCCAGTGGAGTTTAAAGAGTTTTCTCTGCCATATCTGAGAGACATTGCTCACCGTGTTAAGGACAAGATCAAAGAATCTGGTTTAGACAATGTGCCTATGGTGAGTAGAGTTTATCTTTTGAGCTTGAGCACTGTATTTAGTTTTTTACTAAGATTTTATTTTTTATAACTTTTGTTAACTTTATTAACGTTAATTTTTATTAACTTCTTTCTCCACTCTTGCAAATATTTTTGTAGCACATTATAATAACTTTTAATTAGTAAGTAGCTGATGTCTTTCAAATATGGAATACAACAACATAATTCATCCCAAGAAGTTAGTACCACGAGAAGTGCTAATTGTTGCATATCATAACATTTTTGTTTTTGAAAGAAGTTTCCTAGGGTAGGTTCACACAGAATGTGTTTTTCCTGTTAAAAACGTGAGACGCAGTTCAGTGGAACAAAAAAAGGTCTTGAGATGCGTTTTTTTAAAAGTTGAACTTCTTTTAACTCGAGCGTCGCGTTTTTAGAATTCCGCATCATCATGCGTGATATGCTGCAAAAGACGCAAGACTCGAGCGCACGGCAAAGATTGAAAAAAAGAACGTAAATACTTGTGGGTCTCGACTGGACCATTAGTAGCACAGTCGAATGCGTTTTTTCCATTCCACTGTGGCATTTTCTCATTATTTTTAAATGTAAACATGCGCTAGACAGACTTCTTTTACCGTTGCGCTCGCGTCTTTTGCAGCATCTCGTGCATGACACTTAAAGGTGCATTGTGTAATATTTAGGAGGATCTATTGACAGAAATACAATATCATATATATAACTATGTTTTCAGTAGTGTATAAAGGCCTTACTTAATTAACTGTTATGTTTTTATTACCTAAGGGTATGTTTACACGACAACGATATACTTAAAACCGAGAAGTTTTTCCTTTGAGTTTTCCGCGTACAGACAACATCATTGTCAAAACGATCCCCATTCATACAGATCCGCGAAAACGACTAAAAAAACCTGTGTTCTGTTGCCAGGCCATTAGATGGCGATGAAACACTATAGACTGAACACGTTATACGCATGTGCATGATGTCATCGTCTTCAGAGATTCGCATTTTTGTGTTTACACGGAGACCATTTTCAAAAACTTGCACTATGAAACCTGTTTTTGAAAGTTTGTGTTTTCAGGCACCCAAAACGGCGTTGTCATGTAAACGAACAGCCAAAACGCATAAAAAGTTTGACCTTTTTAGTTGAAAGCGGTGTCGTGTAAACAGCCCCTTAAGAATGAGCCATTTCTATCTACATACACCGCGGGTCCCCTTACATTGAAATGCGCAGACATGTTTCTACAGTAGCGCTAAATGGACAAATGCGTTTCGTCACTATGTTGTTCTTTGTGCAAAGAAGCTAGCTAAAGTCAGCGAATAAAACACTGACACAATGATGAACAAGTAACAATAATATAACATATCGATTTACTGAATAATTAAGTAAACCTAATTTCTTAAAGCTCCAGTCCGTAACTTTTTTGGGTTAAAAATTATCCAAAATAATTTTTTGAGCAAGTACATAACCAGCCAGTGTTCAAAACTATCTGCTTGCCTTAGCTCGATTAAAAGCGGTAAGCTTGTAATAATGTTTTTAATTCCAGTGGCACTGGTGGATTTCCTTGGGAGATTTGAGCATGTCTTTGCGTCATTACGTCACATCTGTACACATAAAGGAGGAGTCTCGGCTAGTATAAGCTATATTACGTGTGAGGTGGAGATTTATAGCCTTTTCTCACAGCACTTGATATAATTAAACTTATTAATTTGATGGTGGATCCAGAAAGGTTCAAACGACAATCACCAGTGACAACAGATTCACCCGTTGTAAAATGCAAAAGACTTCGGAGTGAGAGTTTGGAAAAAGAGACTGCAACTGGGCCCATGTGAAAACAAGGATAAATATCTGAAGGGCTTTAAATGTAGTCACGCAATGCTGATGTTGTTAACATTAACAATTGGAGAACAAAGTATAAATTGCACGGTTTGACGTGATATGATAATCAATCGTTAGATTTAATCAGCACGATTTACTGCTATGCTTTTTATTTTCAGTTAGTTGGTCAGAAGAACAAAAGTGGATGTTACTTGTTCAGGTGACATTTCAGGGTAAATTCTTATGTTGGTCATATTTCCAAAAAGTATAATCTGTGATTCTGAATGACAGTATCCACACCGGCGCGGTGACAGACAGCTGCACATTCTCCTCAAAACATTGGATTCATCTGCGCTGTGCCATGTCGGGGGTGTCGAGGTACAACTCACGTGAAGTTGATAATTCCGCGAATGACTGCAATTGCAGATTTCGAACAGAGATGACGACAAAGAGGAAAAACTGCGGACTGCAGCTTTAATTTATCTTTGTGAAGAAGCGTCATTGCTTAACTGGCTACTCTCTGCTGTCTCAGACAACGACATCTTTTCCTGTCGGACACCGTAACTTCTCTTGGTTGCAATTCGCAATCTCACCACTAGATGCCGCTAAAAATTACACAGTGCACCTTTTAAGTAAAAATTGTGAAATATATTTACAATTTAAAATATATAAAATCATCTAATGTTTATATATTAGTATATTTTCATATATTCCTGTTTGAATGAATATTAAAGTGATGTGTTAAGTGTTATGTAATGTTTGTTTTTTACTTAAAGTTATTATATAGTGCTGACATTTTCTTTTTGAGCATGAGTTTGCAGAGACCAGCAATGTTCCACAACACACAGCACACTAATCGACACTTGTAATAACATAATTTGCCACTAGTTGTCAGTATCAGGTCAGGTTTTGTTGCAGGTCCCAAAGAGTCCCAAAGAGAGTTTCTTTCATGATCCATTGGGCCCTCTGTAACTTCTGTCTTTTCTGTTTCATTTGCAGATTGTTTTTGCTAAAGATGGTCATTATGGACTTGAGGACCTCTCTGAGTCTGGTTATGAAGTCGTGAGTCTCGACTGGACCATAGATCCGCGTTCAGCACGGTTAGTCACAGAGATGTGATGTTTTCTGATTTCTGATTTTGCCAGGAGTGTTCAGACTCTTAAGCAGTTCTCGCTTCAAGATCCTATACTGTCATTTTGTTCCTTGATGGTTTTATTTCAAAGCACTGAAACTCAAGTGTATATAGGTGTGAATGTTTTTTTTGGCCTCTTGTCAGACAGATTTGCTCCAGATTGATGGCAATTTATTTGGTGACAATCTTTCTTTTTTCCTTTTTTTTTTGTTCTAAAGAATAAAAAGGAAAATGTCTTATAATGGTCCATTATAAGACATTTTCCTTTTTGTTCTTTAGAACTTTAAAAAAAGATTGTCTTTCCCTATATGTATTCTCACCATCCATCCATTGTTTTAATAAGAATAAATAAGAATAAGATAAAGAGCTCTTTACTCTTTAATGTTTAGATTTTCTTGTCTTGTTTTATATATTAGTTGTTTAATGCTTCATATGTAGAGGTCAGTTGTAAGACAGTTGTGTCCTCATTACATTTTCATTAGTTTTTTTTATCTGTATAAACTGAAACGGAACAGTTCAGTTTCTAGACTTAGAAATAGAATCACAGCCAACCAGATGTCAATATAGGATTTATAAAATTAAAGGCTTTGGTAGAGTCTCTGAATACTTCTGCAAGACAAGCAACTTATTCTCTGTTATTGCTGTTTCAATACATTTTAAAATAATAGTAGAGTCGCTTACAAATGGAAGTATGGGAATTATGTAGACACTATCTTAAACAAATCAAAACTCAAAAGATTTCTGTTTCAAATAAATGCTGTTCTTTTGAATTTTCTATTGATCAAAGAATTCCCTTTCCACAAAAGTATTAAGCAGCACAACTGTTTTCAACTGATAATAAAATGAAATATTTCTTGAGCACCAAACCAGCATATTAGAATGATTTCTGAAAGATCATGTGACACTGAAGACTGGAGTAATGGCTACTAAAAATACATATTTGCCATCATAGTAATGAATTCTTTCAAAACCCCAAAAAGTATTTTCGACCCCAAACGTTTGAATGGTAGTGTATATAATCTTGTTTGTGTTTCTCAGTGTCAGGACTGGAGGAAAAGTTAGTTTGCAAGGCAACATGGATCCCTGCGCTCTATATTCCACAAAGGTGAGGACGGGAACATCGAAACAACACAAAACAAACCAATTCTCTGCATCACTTCAGTTTAGTCTAGGCTATATAGTAGTGTTTTGTGCTTGAAAAGCAATGCTTCAGTTCTGGTTAGAGAGGCCATTTTGTTTTTACAAATTTAGGCCCTGCTAGAAATATGAGCCTTAAGAACAGCTGTTTTCCACACAGAGCCGTCTCTGGCTTTCATTGCTCATTCATTACAAGCATGGCTTTCATAGCATTGTCTTGATGCCTCCCAATTATAAAAAAAAAATTCCCACCATCATTTCAGAAGTTATAGGGGTGTGACTGCCCAGCCTATTTGAAAAACATTAGCTCAAAGATTTTGACAGAGGATAAATTCTTATGTATGATATCCAACCTAAACACTTCTCTTTATGTGTGATCAGGAGCGCATATCAGAGATCGTGAGGAGGATGTTGGAGGGCTTTGGCACCAAGGGCTACATCGCTAATCTGGGTCATGGCCTGTACCCTGATATGGATCCAGAAAATGTGGGCGCGTTTGTGGAGGCCATACACACCCATTCTCGCCAGCTCCTCAACCGCAAATAAGACGTTACTCTCCTATCAGAACACCTCAAGCCAATGAGAAACAACAACTGTTGGAGTTAAGCGCTCGCTGTAGCATCAGATGTGTTCTAGGATGAATCTCACAAAACCTGTCAAAAAAATCCATTTGTATTTCACTCTAAAATCAAAAGAGAAAAAGAATACAGCAATACCATAGTGTGAATTTTTGTTATATATATATATATATATATATATATATATATATCTGTATTGCAGTAATACGAATCTTCAAGACAATATAAAATTTCAAGCATTACAGTTAAGAGAATTGAGGATAAAATATGCCTAGTTGTCATGAAAATGTCACAATGCAAAATATCTTAATTTTACTGAAATGTAGTCTTCGTTTTCTTTATGCAAAATCTTAATGCAATTTTTTTTGTAATGATTTTGTGGTGAAGTGTGACCCAGATATTTCTTGACAGGCTTTGAGAGATTGGCATAAAAGGCTGGGCCCGACTCATTTCAATTATTATGTAGGCCGTCTTTCTATTTTACCTACATTTTATAATAGCTCCACACCAATCCATCTCATCTTTAATATAATTTTTTAGCTAGATTAATGTGCTTTCATCAGAGCCGATGCACTACACTGGAGAACGTGGAATAGGTGGATGGAATCTGATTAAGTCTGAAGTGCTGTATAGGTTTGTTTTTAATGCAGTGCCATAGTAACATCTGGGCTGAGACGGTCTTCACTGGAATAGTGACTGACACTAATGAACCACTAAGAATGTGTGTACATTTCAATGGATGTTTTATAAGAAGCGAAATAAAGAGTAATCCTCCTTTTAAGACAAACATCCCTCAGGGGAATTTCTCTGAGTTGAATGTCACATACCTAAATCATATGATTTTCTATTCCCTTTGTTTTGCAGGAGTGTTTCGGTGAGGGGTTTACCCCCCTTGATCTATGATTACTGTCTCTCTTACTGCCTTTCGCATTTAGTAATAGAAATGTTAATCCCAGAGGATGTAATACCAAATGACGAATAAGCACAAATCCTTAAATCCAGTTGTTTTTGTTTTTGGGAAGGTGGGAGTGGGATTCCCCAGCAACACATCACATGACGTGACGTACGCAAGATGTTTTTGAAGAACCCTGAACTTCAAAACAAGGATTTATTGGAATTAAACATGTTTTCAATCATGTTAGTGCTCTCTGAACCCCATTTGTGTGTATGAAAATGCATCATTTTGATACAGGATTTCAAATCCGTTATTTGTTAGCATAGCATTCAATTTCAGTCAAAGTTGTTTACTGTCTGTTTTAAAAGCGACCACAGACTGTAAATTGAAACAACATGATGGATGTTGTCCCACACTCGCTTACGGTCATTTAGTTTGAAATGGTGGCAGCTGCACCGCTGGTGTGCGTTGTTGTCAATGCAGGATAAGTCTGGCCTTGATTGTGTGTTAGGTGCTGTAAGCCCTGCTGAAAGAAGAAACGTCCTGTAATCAATTTGCTGATTAGTGTGTTGTTGGATTTTTAAGCCCCTGCCGACTCGCCACTAGTTTGTTTCCGTGGAGCACAGCTGTGATTGGGGGGCTGGGCCCGTTTCCTAGTGAGGCACAAGAACATACACACACGTGCCCACACTTATTCTGTGATACCTCAAGGGGCTCCTGGCATTATTTTTAATTGCAACAATGAATCTATAAAAAAAAAAAAAGAGCTGAATTCCCCAAGGCCTCCTTTAAGATGCCACAAGGGGGATGAAAGTGGGGGTTTGGGCTCAATCTCTCAGCAAATCAGCCGGCCTGAAAATCCAATATGTTCCTGAAGACAGCAGGCTGTACATCATTTGTCAGGTCCTTGCTCTATCACTGCTTTATCAGATGAGAAGGTTTTGGGGGGTTTGGCTCAAGATTGATTTGAAATTTTGGGGAAGAGAGATAGAGGTCTTCAAGTTGGTGTCAGTTCGGTGGAGTCACATCTTGTAAAATTGATTGGTTATTTTCACCATTCAGCATGTATGGTCATTAATATTTAGTTTTATTCTTTTGGGTGAGATTTAGTGTTGCAGTGGGGTTGGTGGTGGGGCCGGGTTAGGCGATCGTCAGCTCCAGTCTCACTTGAGACTGCTGGCCTGGCACTGCTGTCAAATATGACTATAGAATAACATACTGAATTTGATACTTTTGATTGGACATTGCAGGATAATACTAGTACGCAAGTGTGAGCCCGCCCACACGCTTTTCTGATTGGTTGTGCTTTGTGATTGGTTTGGTCACGTTTTGTACTTTTTACAGTCTATGGTTTTGTAGCTAGAACACATCATGTCCAGGGGCCTGTACCACGATGGTAGTTGAACAAACTCAGGGTTACAGGATGAGTTTTGAGTTGACAAAACCAAACCAATCCAACCAGGCTTTGTTGGTACCATGATGCCTCGGGCTTTGATCCTGAGTTTGGGAATTTAGGTATGACATCAGTAGCGAACAGCCAATCACATGCAGAGAAAGAGTGAAACTGAGATTAATTTCTCACGGGAGAAGCAGCACGAGAATATCACGAATACAGAATATTACGAGATTGAAAAATATAAAGAATTAAAACAAATTTACACAGCAAGTAGAAAATAGCTGTCTATGAACGAGGACAACTAAAATACAAAGTCTTGCTATATCAGTGCAAGTAAAAGTTGTGAAGATAGCTTATACATTTGATAAAGGCTTTAACATTTAAGCTCACATGTAGGCTAGTCATTTTATAGCTTTATCTATTGATTCTAAAGCGTATTTATATTACCTCTATATATTTATTTAATTAAACTGGGCGAAATCATAATTGATAAACTAAAATTGTACATGTGTGATCGATTAAGGGTACAATAATTACATAAATAATATCTAAATCATACAAAAGTATTATTCTTAATGAGCATTACTAAAAGCCGGACGATTTTGTCTTTAAAAATCATTTGCGGTGTAGTGATCTTTAATTTGGAGTGGAAACAGGTGGAGTGACTATCGCATAAGACATGCGTCACTTTGCTCACAGCTGATTGGTCCAAGTTCGGTTTGCAACCTCTTATACCTGGAACATAACCTGCCCTGGACCAGGTTAGCCGTGGAGCGTAAGTTATGGTGATGAACACTGCTAAAAGACAAACCACTTCCATGGTGCCTAACCCAGGGTTGGCGCAAACTAAACTGAAACATATCGGTCTAGCCACCTAAACCGGCTTCATAGTATAGGCCCCAGTACGGACACAATATCCACAATAAGGTTGGGTTTGTAAACAGTTAATGCAATCGTAAGTAAAAGCACAAACTGATGCACTTCTCTGAGCCATGCATCGTAATGGCGCTTTGTTCCCCCGTGAATTGGTGATTTGAGCAAATTGCTTGAGTGAGTGAATGATCCAATGACTCGCTTAAAAAAAGATATGTTGCCCCCGACCGGCGTATCACAACCTATAAAATTGTAACTGAAAAATCCCACCACTATTAGCCTACACAGACTGACAGGCTGTATGTAATGTGCAAACAGAAAGAAGTGGAGTGATACAATCAGTGAAAAGTCAGACTATATAGCATTCAGCTAATCAAATTCGAGGAACGCACTATTGCATTTTGATCTTTAATTCTGTTCATCTCAAAATGTTCCTCCACAATCCACTCCAGCTTTCCATACCCGCTTAGCCCACACCACCTCCCACCTCAAAAAAGTCCCAAGCTGCCCCACCCCTCCCACCCAGTCTTCCGACACCCCAATTACAGAGGGATTCTGGGAAAATCAGAGCAGCAGAACAAAGCTCTGCAAATCAGCTCCCCGAAGAACACAATATGTGATTACGCTGACAGCAGAACCTGCCATGCAGGGTGCAAAGGACAAAGCTTCCTCTCACTGCACAAACCTGCCCAGAAGCACAACAGTTCTCAGAGTTGCCTGACAGGCTTGTGTGCTCCATGACTGCGTTTAGACGTCCTCTTTCTGATGACGGGTTGGGTTCTAATTAAAGAAAAGCCTCTGTAACATTGTTACACGTATAAACAATGCTTGTTTTCCCCCACCAATCCCAACACCTACTCCTCGCTCCAAATATGACAGCCTCAGCCTGCGCTGGAAGCTCAGAACAAGGTGGGAAAGCCAATTACTCGTCTCTTTTTCCTGGCGTGTCACTTCTGTTAAATCACTGAGCTAAGGAAATGCCTTCTTTTGCAGCGTGTCTAACAGAGCCAAACCCATCCATATTTCAGCCAGCAGCACAGCCATGCTTGACAAACACTTACTCAGTGGTCCTCACAGGAGCAGAGCGCTGCACTGGGTCCGAGACACAATGAAGAGCAGCAGCTGTGAGGGACCCTGATGGATGGTACAGTTTGTATAAGCAGGCCCAAAGAGCATTGTTCCTGTCGACTGCATCTCTAACACAGTCAATCACTCTGACACAAGGTTTTCCTAGAGTTTATTGTGGTTTTAGTCACAGAGTTTCTAAAGAGGAGACCGGAAGAGAGCTGGACATCATGTGTCGGGGCATCAAGAATTTGTTTACAACTGCAGTGATTTTTTTGTGTGCGTTTAAAGACCTCATGAGATGCGTGTATGTTAGCATACAGACTAACATACACACCTAACCTAAAAGGTTGACAGCATAAACAAAAGCTTTTGTAAGCATTTAGTCTTTCTCTACTGGATAAAAAAAAGAAAAGAAAAAAAAAAGTCCACTTCACACACTACCACTGAATGGTTTGAGGTCAGTAAGATTAAGAAATTATAAAGTCTCAAGCCTGCATTTAATTGATCAATAAAACAAATATTTATGAAATATTTAAAATGTTTTCTATTTTAATACAATTTAAAATTTAACTTATTCCCATGATGGCAAAGCTGAATTTTCAGCATCACATGATTCTTCAGAAATCATTCTAATATTCTTTTCAACTTCAAGATTCCTTGAAGTTGAAAAGAACAGTATTTATTTGAATTTTGCTGCAAGTTAAACGCCTTTACTGTAACTTTTAGTTTCTTCTCAAACCATCAGTTGAGCACAAATGCAGTGGCTTTGGTCATCTCTAGATAACAAATAGATCCTTTTCACATTTCCGGGTTTCTTAGAAGCAGAAACCGTCATAATTGGGTAAAATTCTATAATAGTGAACGGGAGACAACAGCAAACATAATTTTTGTATTCCCATTTGCTCCAATATCAAAATTAAAAATCCATG